CAAAATTTTCACGTTCTCCCTCCAAACTCGCTGCCCGAAACTTCATCTCCCTCTCAAACTCTAGCCCCAATTACTTCCAGCTCCCTCTCAATTTTTTCACTCCCTCTCAAACTGTCACCCTAAAACTTCATCTCCTGAAAAATTCTCTCCTCGCCCTCTCATTTTTTTCAGTCCCTCTGAAACTCTCTCTTTCTTCTCTCTCCTCCGTCACTGCCCCATTCTTGCTAAAACCATCAGATGCTCAACTCTTACGATTCACAGCGAGATCCTCCAATCGGTGTTGTCCGGAACGACGGTGTCGTACGAGCAAGCGTTGAAACTTGGGGACTGCCGGAGAGAGGCAGCGATCCGACGCGAGGCCTTGGAGCGGACGACGGAGGGTACCTTGGTGGCCAGCATCAATAGGCGCCATGACCAGAGCTCCAATTGTTAGGTTTGGCTCTGCCGTTAGGGCTGCACAGCTCATGTTATTCGTCGAGGACCCTCTCAACTTCAATACTCTTGCTGCCATTTTCAACAGGTTTCTCTGTTTGATTTTAATTTCTTAGAAGAAACCCTAGATTTTCAAGCCAAAACCTTTTTATTGTAGCATGGATTGTAATTTTATATAATTGAGGAACAAAAAGAGGACCTATCAACCAATTTAATGAAGATTTTGTCACAACTGTATGCTGTTGATGGGCATTTGTTTATTTGTTTTGAATTATTCTGTTTTTTCTTCTTATTCTTCTGTTGTTTACTCAATCTGCGTAGTTTCATGTAAAATATTGATAAGTTGTATATGTGATAAATGGGAGGCTCACTGCTTAGGTCTAGTAGATTTGCAAACCTTCTAAAGATTCAATGCCAAATAGCAGGCATGAATCTATGCATCAGGTTTGCTTGCAGCACTGGAGATGCCATGGCATATAAAAAGAAAGTCAAAAAGATGCAGTTGGAGATGTTTGGTTCAGGTTTCTTTTCTTTTTCTTTCCTTCTCTGTTTTGTTGTAAATTTTCCTTTTCTGCTCTGTGGTGGTAGAAACTAAGAATGAATGGAGAATTTGAATGTTAAGTTAGGAAATAGGAGATGA